CTATCCTATATGGATGTTGGCAATCACGTTAGTCCATACAACTTTGTTGACAGCTGCTCTAAATAGATGTATGGTAGTCATTCCTGCCCACTGTCTGATGTTCTTCAACCACGATGTCTTTCTGCACCATTGAGATCTTTTGCCTTCTATCTTGTCTTGTAAAATTAGTTGATACGTTTCATTGCGCATCACATGCCCTAAGTTTGTCATCTTTCTGATTTTTATGATACGCATAACTTCCAGATCTTTATTCATACGTTGGATCACGGTGTTGTTTGTAACATGATGAATATAGGCAATTCTAAGCATGCAGCGGTAGCACCACATTTCGAAGGCTTCTAATCGTTTGGATGTTTCCTCCATCAAGGTCCAGGCTTTGACTCCATATAAAGGGTAGAAAATACATAGCCTATCAACAATCAAAACCGTATCGTCCGCATATCTTAAATTGTTTATAATTTCACCATTGATTTTTATACCTTATCTTAAACCACCAATAGCTTCCCTGAACAGCATTTTCGAGTTAATATTAAACAATGTCGGTGACAAAATGCAGCCCTGACGTACTCGCTGTTTTATCCTGAATTCTTATGAGGTTTCGTTGTCTACTCGTACAGTTGCCCTTTGCTGTAAGTATAAATTTTTAATTAGGTGTACATCTTTGTCATCTATTAATAGATTCTTTTAGTATATGAAATAATTTTTGATGTTGCCCCTTGTCAAATACTTTTTCAAAATCTATAAAGCATGTGTAGACTTTGCAATTTACGTTTCGAATATCAATACTTGTATAGAAAATATGGCTTCTCGCGTTCCCAGTCCGCTTTTAAACCCAAACTGAACACAGTCCGCTTTTAAACCCAAACTGAACACGGCTAATGTTTTCTTTAAGTTTTCTATATATGCGAGAGTAAATAACAGAAAGGAATATTTTGAGTAAATAGCTGATTAAGCTTAAAATTCTGTAATCAGAGCATCTGGTAACATTTGCCTTTTTGGGGAGAGGGATGAAGGTGAGATCAATCTGAAGGAAATTCTGCAGTTCCATAGATTTTGTTCAGTGAATTCGTTAGGAGTTTAAGTTGGTTGTTTTTAAATAGTTTTAATATTTTAGCTTGTATGTTATCAGATCCAGGTGCTTTGTTGGTTTTTAGTCTTTTTGTTGCATATGTTACTTAACTGAGTGTTATTTCTGGTCCTGAACATCCAGAAATACTGACTTCTGTCTCTTGTTTTTTTTTAATAATTCTTCTATGTATTGCCTCCATCTCTCAAGTTTTCTCTTATTTTCGTAGAGCAGATTGTTGTGCTTGTCTAGTATTAAGTTATGACTTCGTGATCCTTTTCCTCCTGTTAAGTTTTTGATCTTTTTATGTAGGTTAAAAGTGTCATGCTTCTATTCTATGGATTCTATTTCTATGCATTGATCTTATAGCCATAATTCTTTTGCTTCTTTAATCATTCTCTTAATTTATGCCTTCTCTCCAACTAAGGCGGGGTCTTCCTCTTTTTCGTCTACCATGAGGGGTCCACGTTAGGATTTGTTTCGGGAGTCGTTCTTCGGACATTCTTTGTACGTGTCCATACCATCTAAGCTGTTTGGTAATAATGTCATCTACTATTGTGTGTTTCACATTCATTTTTTCCCTAATTCTGTTGTTGGTTACCCTTTCTAATCTTGATTTTCCTGCTGAGCGCCTCCAGAAATCCATTTCTGTTGCTTCAAGTTTTCTCTTGTATCTTTCTTTTATTTGCCATACTTCACTGCTGTAAGTGATTATACTCTTAACAATTGTATTGTATATTCTATGTTTGTTGTTGTTTGATATTGCCTGGTCCCACAGTATACTATTGAGAAGGGTAATTGCTTTTCTTCCCTGGTTGTTTCTTTCTTCTATCGTCCGGTCTACGTTTCCTTCTTGTGTGATGGTCATACCCAGGTATTTATATGCGTCGCAATGTTTAATAATTTCGCCATTCCCCAGTGTAAGGTCCTGCTGTGTCCCACCGATACACATATATTCGGTCTTTTTTATGTTTATTTCCAAACCACCTTTTTTGTACTCCTCTATTAATTTCCTTGTCATATATTCTATATCATCGTAGTCTTGCACTAGTACAAGTTGGTCGTCTGCAAATGACAAAGTGTATATTGTATTGTTGTTGATCGGTAATCCCATGTTTTTGCATTTGCGTTTCCAAAGTTTTAGAGTTTGCTCGAGGTAGATCTTAAATAATGTCGGTGAAAGGCAGCACCCTTGTTTTAGGCCTTTGCTAATTTGGAATCCTCTCGATAGCCCGCTTCCAACTTTCACCCTTGATGCAGTTTTGGTATACAATTGTTTCGTCGCTGTTATTAAATTTGCGCTTATATTGGTTTTGTCTAATGCTTCCCATAGTTTGTTTTGTAGGATGCTATCATACGCTTTTCTCAAGTCCACATATGACAGATGCACCTCCTGGTTGACGGCCAGTTTCTTCTCAATAATCTGTGTAATACAAAACAGATGGTCTACCGTTGATCTCCCTGTTCGGAATCCTGCCTGTTCTTCAACTTCTATATCTTTATATTCGTTTTCGATTTTATTTTTAATCAGTTTTCCGTATATTCGGCTGATCGAGTTCGTTACAGCGATGCCTCTGTAGTTGTCACATTGATCCCGTCTGCCTTTTTTATGTATGGTGGATATCCATGGTGTCCAGAAATTTTTTATACTTCTCTCTTTTATTTTTAATCTCTTGTTCTATTTCTTCGTCCCACCAATACGAAGTTTTTCTGTGGTTTTTTACTTGGAGTTCGAGAGCCTCTGTTGCTGCTTCCTGAAGACATGTTTTTATATAATGATAATGCTCTTTCTCTTAATGATTTTGTTTATTTCTTTGTACCTTTCCTTATTCTTATTTCTGTGTTTTCGTCGTTGTTCCATTAGCTCTAATATTTCTTGTCTCATCCACGGCTATTTCTTTATATTGTTTTCTGGTTTAAGTTTATTATCTACCACTGAATTAGAGATATTTTTGATTTTATTCCACATGTCATCCACACTTATGTTTTCTTGATTAATATCTGAGATTGCCATGCTGTTTTGTTGTTGATCTCTTGGTTTAAGTTTATTATCTACCACTGAATTAGAGATATTTTTGATTTTATTCCACATATCATCCACACTTATGTTTTCTTGATTAATATCTGAGATTGCCATGATGTTTTGTTGTTGATCTCCTTTTTGACTTCGTCTCTTGTGGTTTTATTTTTCAACTTCTGGATGTCCGGATGTTTTTGTGTTTTTCTTTTATGGACTTTTTTATGTAGATTTTGAAACATCCTAGTAAAATATTATGGTCTATTGAAACATCTGATCCTGGATATGTTTTTGCGGATTTTACGGAATTCTGAAATCGTTTGTTGAGGATAATGTAGTATTTTTATTTATAACTTTTTGTTTATAATAAAAAGTAATAAGTACTGTACAGTTGCTAGTTTACAAGATACAGTGCGAATCTTTGTGCGCCCCTTTTTCCAAGACGGCGTCGGGGGGATAACGGTAGCGACCACACAAACTTGGACCTAAGCTTATCTTATCTTATCTATACTTAGGCTCCCAACACATCAAAATATTGCATTTTATAAGAAATGCGCGCTAGGTCTAAGAAATATATTATTTCAATGGACTATGTGTCTTTTTTGGGATTAGGTTTTGAGATGGTTTTGATCATAGTATACTGCTAAGTCTTCTAGAAAATTTGTTTTTCTTCAACTTTATTAAAGGTTCTTCCCTATAGCTGCTACAGTCGTATCATGAGTGTAAATAAATGTTAGGAAGATCCTTTCCTAATATTTGTTTTATATTCTGCTTCTCCAGCGCATGGTTCCAGGTAGGAAACTTCTTGATCCAAGGCATCTTCAGAGAAATTTTTACGTTTCACTTTTCTTATGTTTAACCTTCTATTAAAAGAAATAGTTTTGTATCTAATTATGGCGTTATAAAGTTAGGTGACAAAAATGTTTGTGTGTTGGTGTTTGGACACCTCTTTGGCTTTATAAGTTCATTGCTGAACCTAGGTTTCATCGACGTTTTTAAAATTACGCAAAAGTTATTAATTTTGCCGTACTCCCAAAAACAAACTAATCGACAAATCGCTCTCAACTCTTTTTAGCCTATCAGACAATAATTGTATAGCATGGTAATATTCTCCCAATGCACACATTCTCCTTGTTAGATCAGGTAATTCTAGAGAAATACTCGTATATTCCATATCCATAAAATTCACTAGGCAATATCATCATTTAAAAAATCCCATCCAGTTAAATCAGTGTAAATATAATAAAATAGAAACTGATTCGATTTGATTTGTTATCTCCAATATAACTCCCGATCGTTTTCTATCTCGCGAAAAATAGATCTACCGATTTAAAAACCAAATAAAATCGAATAAGCATAATAAAGTTACGGTGGAACTGCAATCTGTTTTATTGGTCTCATTTTAAATTCATTGTAAGTTATCAGGCGAGGTTATATCACCCGCGTTCGGAGGCATCGAATTGTGTAATGAGAAGTTACTAATACGAACGACACTTGTCGAACTCGATATAAATTTTATGAAATAAATCTTTCTTTTTCTCGCCGCATCTAGAGAGGTATTTATTCACTAACAGAATATATCCAGCACACTGACAGAATGCTGCAAACGTTTCAGCAAATAGTGAAAATCCCGTCAGAAACAATGTCTTTCTTTTTGTTTCCACACAAAATATTGAAAAAAAAAAAACCTAAACTCCCTTTTTATGAAAGATTTTATAGATACATGACCAGTAATAATATTGTCTTCCACAAAATATACCAAACCACCTTTTTAAACCGCGCCGCCTTGGATGATCAGAAAACCCTTCTTAGACTTGAGTTTAATAACGACTAGTAATCAACTTAATTCTTCCTCTATAGTTACCTTATTTTACAGAAAGATTGATAACTACCAGAGTTACCAACATATTTATACTGATGCCTCCAAATCAGAAAAAGGAGTGGGATGTGCCCTCATACACAACGATGTTTTCCACGTGTGTTGGGATATGTCTTGGTCCAACTGCTCTGCCTTAAGTACCATATTTCGCAACTCACCTCCACGAATGTCTTTAACTGTATATGTCTCTGTATAAGCTCTTGAAATAACAAAATAATTTTTGTTTCAGGTACACTTTTATAGCAGATGATAGGTTTCAAGCCTTTTTTGTAGAAGCGACCGACACGTGGACGCTACAAGTGAAATACGTACAAGCCCGAGACGCAGGACAATATGAGTGTCAAGTCAGCACAGAACCAAAGATGAGTCATTTTATTACCCTTAACGTAGTTGGTAAGTAATTTTTTCATATATACCAATCGTGTTAGGAATGTTTCAGGCAGATACAATTATTGTAATAATATTGTACTATCTAATAAAATTTTCGATATATTTATATAATTCATTCAAGTAAATGAATAGAAAGATAGAATGGAATTCCATTCTGTATCGAAAACTCTAAGTATACAAAACTCTACATATGATCATCATCAAATTTTAACGTTCCATCTTACTAAGTGAGAAATTCGATTACGTTCAGAAATACACAAGCTAAAACCAATCTTATGTTAAATTCTCCACTATTTCTTATGTGCAACTTTTATAATTCCTTAAGTGCTTACTGCGATATATTTCACTGCAATTTAAAGCAGCTTAATAGAATTGCTGAGATCTACCTAGGTGATTGTTTCTTTATGTTAAGGTAAAATACTCGAAAATGTGTTATTAGTTAGTACAAATGAATTGTTAGGTGTTGTTCAACTCTACCCTCGACTGATAGTCGAGGGTAGAGTTAAAGGAAAGAGACCTAGGCAAAGATATCCAAACCGTTGGGTAGACCAAACACTAATATTGATTAACCAAGGGTTATATGAAGCCGAACAACTAGCCCAGGACAGAGAAGGATGGAGGGAAATCGTGAAAAAACTGTGAAGGCCAGATGGTGTCAGCACATCCCAAAAGGGATTAGGACTGAGCAGGAGGATGAATTGTTAATATTTCATTTAACTTTAGTATTGTACTTTGTCCTTTAAATGGATTCTGTTGGACAATAAACGCTATTATTATTATTGAGCCATACGGCTCACACTCCCTCTAAGGGAAAAATTCACTCATCCCAGATGCCTACGGTATCAAAAGGATTTAGCTCTGGTGGGACTCTTTCCATGTTATCGAGTCCTAGGTGATTTTCGCACGCATCTGGACGTCGAAAGTAGCACAGCTTTCTGCATGACCTTATATAGATGTTCATTAAGACCCAAGTTTCTTATGTTTTCTAGGAGGTTCTTCGGAATGACTTCAGTGGTAGAAAGAATAATAGGTATCGTCTGGGTACTTTCCATTCTCCATTATCTTCTTATTTGTATTTCCAGATCTCTGTACTTAGCAATCTTTTCGTTGTACTTAACAGACAGATTATTGTTGTTAGGTCTATCTATCTATCTATACAGCCCTTAAAATCCATCTTTGGATATAGGCCTCCTCTTCCTTCTTCCATGCCTCTCTATCTTGGGCAATTTGCATCCATTTTGACCCGGCGTGTTTCTTCAGGTCATCTGACCATCGCATTTGTGGCCTTCCCCTTTTACGTTTGTGATTCCATGGTCTCCAATGTATAATTGTTTTAGTCCATCTTTCATCTTTCTGCCTTAGGGTGTGTCCGGCGAACTTCCATTTAAGCTTTGCTACTTGGGTTGAGACATCTTTCACTTTTGTTTTATTACGGATCCATTCGTTTCTTTTTTTGTCTGATAGTTTAATGTTCAGCATTTGCCTTTCCATGGATCTTTCTGTCTTTGCTATTTTTTCCATATTTTCCTTTGTAAACGTCCATGTCTGAGAGCCATATGTGAGGACAGGGAGTATACATTGATTGAAGACTCTCGTTTTTAAGTATTGGGGGTATTTTGAATTCTTTAGAATATAAGACATTTTTCCGAATGATGCCCAGGCCAATCTTATTCTTCTCTTTATTTCTTCGGTCTGATTTTCTTTATTTAATTTAGTGATTTGGCCTAGATATATATACTCTTTTACTTGTTCTATTTTTGTTTGTGCCACTGTAATCATAAGTTCTTCTGGTTGATTAGTCATGGTTTTTGTTTTACTATAATTCATCTTGAGTCCAATTTTTCTCGATTCTCTATCTAGTTCTTCCATCATTCTTTGTAATTCTTCACTTTTTTCTGTTATTAATACAATATCATCAGCATATCGTAAATGATTCAGATTTAGCCCGTTTATATTAATTCCCAAGTCATCCCAGTGTAGTCGTTTAAAAACATCTTCTAGCGCTTGGTTAAATAACTTGGGCGATATGGTATCTCCTTGTCTTACTCCTCGGTTTATTTTAATAGGCTCCGTTTGTTTCATTAGCTTAATAGTTGTTGTTGCCTTGTTGTATATATTTGTAATTAAGTCGGTATATCGGTAGTCTATTCTGCTGTTTTGTAGGGAATTCTGTACTGCCCAGTGTTCCACACTATCAAATGCCTTCTCAAAGTCAATAAATGCCATGTATAGCGGGATATGATATTCGTTAGTTTTTTCGATTAAAATCTTCATCGTTAAAAGGTGGTCACTTGTACTGAAGCTCTTTCTAAATCCGGCTTGTTCTCTTGCCTGGTATCCATCTAATTTAGTTGTTAATCTATTTGTTAATATTTTGGTTAATAGTTTGTACATCACATTTAATAAAGTTATGGGTCTGTAATTCTTTAGATCCTTTTTATCCTGTTGTTAGGTATCGCAGATTATTGTTGTTATCAGACTCAAAAACAAGCATGACTTATCCATATTTCATAAACCTACCCATACTGACACGACTATACACAATTCATCATCCCATCCAATACATTATAAACTGACAGCCTTTTATAGTATGTTACATAGATTAACAAAAATTCCGATGTCAAAATACAACTTTGAGAGAGAATTAAATATCATCAAGCAAATAGCAGTAAACAACGGATACAACGAACAAACAATCAATAAACTGTTAAATCAAAAACTACACAAGAAAGCCCTGAAATTAGTATTTTCACCACCAGAGAAAAAACTCAGTACCTTCTGCTCGATTACATATACAGTCAAAATATCAACAAAAATAGCCAAACACCAGCTTTTCGAACAAATAACAACCTAGGCAAATATATAAAAAACAACAAGAGCCAAAATAAAAAACACACAGTGGTGTGTACAAACTTAAATGTGGCGACTGCCCAAAAACTTACATCGGTCAAACTGGTAGAAACTTTAACAAACGAATAGCAGAACATAAAAGGGCTTTCAATAATAGAAAAACAGATTCTACATACACACTTCACCTTCTAGATCACAATCATTCTTTTAATGACGAATTTAAAATTCTCCACATTCAAAATAAAGGTCTTAAGCTATCCTTGTTAGAATCTACAATCCTTGGAATCCTTGGAAATCAACAAATTAAAAAACACAGATATAATTCTGAATGACCAACTTGAGACAAACAGTTCTCCCCTTCTCAACCTATTTCATTAGAGACTATAAAGTGTAATCGCATGCCAAAAATAGATCACTTGAGAAAGGCAATCAGCCGAAACAGCTGTAGTGATAAGAGATTAAAATAAATTTTGTGGAAGTTTGAAAACAAAGTTTTTAGTGTTTTATTGTTACGTAACTCTATAAGTTTAGGACACTTATTAAATTCAAAGCACTAAAGATGTCGGTTTATGAAGTTATTGAAACAATCTTAAATTAAATTGGAAGCTTTTTGCGTACAGAAAATCTTTTCCTAAAGCTTATCTCTCACACGTTATCGAAGTAAAAAGACAATGTACAAACCAGTAAACTTAAATAATCACTCACGTAAACCGTTCTATTGCATTCTATTCTGTCTTAGATGCATTTTGTTTCCACTTTGAAACGCAAGTGACACAAAGGACTTGAGCTAACACTGTTTGAAATCGTAATCCATTACAAAACAAAGCACGCGTCGTAATCCATTAAAAAACAAGACAAGCGCCGTGTCGCAATTTAACTTCGTCTATTATTTATCTCTCGGTAATCAAAAAGAACGGGGATTACTCACATTTTAGGGAAAAATGTTGTGCAACGTGTCAAGTGACGTGGAAATAATTGCATGGACGTTGTAGTGGCGAGTTTGCAATTAAAGTCATACCGCTAACTAACACATTTATATGTGTATGGTGTGGTTAGCTAGAAATTTATTATAATATAGTAGGGCTAAAAACCACAAACAGAAAAAAATACGATAACGAACAGAAATATGTTATACTCAAGATCCTACCCAAATGTATATTATGCACCACTAACGGGACGGAAGATTACAGCGAAATGGTAAAAGATTTTGAAAAAATTTTAAAATTATTTTGAAATATACGTATGCAATAAAGTGCGGCGTATCAAAGGTATATTTTTTCTTATGGGACACCCTATATTTTATTACATTTTCTAATTGTCAGCAAAAAATTAGGTATAGTTTCATAATACTTCCCTATACCTATGTACAGAGTGTTCTGAGTTATGTGGAATATTCTTAAAATGTAAAGCTTTAAACGAAGACTCATTCCTAACTTATTTAAGAAATTCTAATAAAATTGGTTATACATCTAAATAGTTGGATACAGGTTAAATCTATTTCATGATTAACTATTAAACATTTATTTACAGGGTGTTCAAAATTTGTAGTTTCATTATTAGATTATTCAATGTGTAATATAAGGCTTATTTTAAATGGAACACCCTGTATATTAATGAATTAATAAATTTTAAAAAAATTTCACTTTCGAATGGTATATGACTGCATAATTTTAACTGGTACCTCCGACCACTCCATGGGCGTGCTCAAGATTAATTGAAAAATTACTTTGAATAATTGTAAAAAATAAATGAATTATTTCAGTGTTATAAAGTGTTATGTGTATGTAAACAAAAGTGACCTCTTTTATCACACACTATATTAGAACTGACTGGCCTACATTAAAAAGGGTTTTAAAAATTCACATTTTTTTAATTTTTAAAAATTACAAAAGAGAAAAAGAGTTTTAAAACCGTCTAAGGTATGTTAAATAGATGAATAAAAATATTAATATAAAACTTACAGCTACTTGTTACAAATCCAAATCAGATTCAGAAGATGAACTTTCAGAACCAAGATTTATAATAACTGGCTCGATCATTTTATCAGTAATATTGTCCAGCTTCCACATTCTTTCCTCTTCTTTAATAGTTGATTTACTGCCTTTTCCAGTTTTCAGTTTTACATTATTTACGGCCTCCAAAAACAACTGTTTAACATCATGAATTTTAAAAGTGGATATTTTTTCTCTTGAAACTTCACTCTTATTTGTGCCCATACCCAGTTCAATCGTGTTTAATTCACAATGATATGGTGGGGATCTAAGTACTGTCATTCCACGATTTTTGGCAATTTCATCAATTTCGTATTTTTAAATTTTTCTTTATGAAGGGCACACAACGAATAAAGTTCCTTTCTTATAGATCCGGAATACGTAATATTTTTTGAACTCAGCCAATTCTGCAAGTCTTTTTTAACCACTTGTTGTGGGCAGTCCTTCTATAAGTCTGGAGTGATAACTTGCATTATCCATTACTATTACACAGTTCTTAGGAAGAAGATCTATCATTTGTTCGAAACCATTCTTGAAAGACATCAGCGTTCATGTCTTCATGGGTAGTCACCGGTACGAGTTGATTCAAAGTTAATAAACCCCTTCAACAAAACCGTCTGAACTGCCAATGTGTACTATTATCAGCCTGCGTCCCTTCCTGATGGTAATGTTTAAACCAGTAGATAAGTTATTTACAAAAGCGTGCCTTTGACTTGTAACAGTTTCATCTGCCAAAATGTATTTGGTGTATGACCCTCGTTGATCCATGTTTCATCAAGATAAATAATTTTCTTTTTTGGT